GTGGTTATGTAAGCCTTTATTTTACTTTTAGGATATAAACTCTGAAGTTTTTAGGAGCATATCCGCAACTTATCCTACAAAGGTTCAGAAAAAAGATGGTTGGGGAGTGAGGAAGGGGGAGAGAGAGACAGAGAGAGAGATGGAAGAGGAGAGACAGGGAGGGAGGGAAGGAGAGAGAAATGAAGAGGGAGAAAATGATAAAGCAAACATGGAAAGAAGTAACCAATTGAGAATACTGATATAGGGTATATGGAAATTATTTGTACTTTTCTTTCATCTTTTCTGAAAACCTGAAATTATCTCAAAACAATATTAGGAAAAAAAAGGAAAAAGAAAAGGAGTGGGAAACTAAAGAGATAACCAGGTGCTCTGGACACCCAGTGGGGATTGCTGGCTGTGATCTTCCTTTTAGAGACCTGAGTGGGGTGGTTGAGGAGCTTCTGACATCAGGATTTTTTAGCTTTTTCCCTGGGGGCTCATTGGTCAGATCTCCTGCCTGAGGTGGGGGGTGGAAGGACAGGCTGCCAGTACAGGGCAGGGCAAGGAGCATCCGTTGTGCACATGTGCCCTGGATTCCCCAGTCTTCACTGCGACCTCCTGTTCTAATCTCTGTGCTGTCCCTGAAGACCCTTTGACTTACTCTCTCTGGGGAAGGAGTTTCTGATCTTTTGTTGGATCTTGGAGGGCTGTCACCTGGCCATTACCTGACTCTGAAGGTCATGCCTGGGGTGGGGGTGGGGTAGGCAGAGGGATCAGGTTCCATTTGCTACTTCTTTTTTTTTTTAATTTAAATTCAATTTAGTTAACATACAGTGTATGATTAGTTTCAAGGGTAGAATTCAATGACTCATGAGTTGCATATAATGCCTAGTGCTCATTACATCACGTGCCCCTTTAATGTCCATCACCCGGGGACCCTCAGTTTATTTCCTACAGTTTAGAGTCCCTTATGGTTTGCCTCCCTCTCTCTTTTCATCTTTTATTTTTTCTTCCTTTACTTTATGTCCAATTGTTTTGTTTCTTAAATTCCACATATGAGTGAGATCACATGGTACTTGTCTTCCTCTGACTGACCATTTGCTTCTTCAAATGGTCTTTAGGACTCATCCTTATCTCAGCCTTCCCCCTCACTTACTGAAGGATCTAGTGCCACCGATTCCTCAACTTCTTGAGAGATTTTGTGGTGTAAATGGTGGTGGTTCCCAGTATTCTTAGCTGCCAGTTTAGGATTCTGTTCTTTTGGTCCTGTGAAGTTATTTGCTTTCCAGCTTTCCAAATTTTGTTTCTATTTTTCTCCTCTCATTTCTTCCTGGGTGATAGTCTATACCTATTAAAAGTTCGACTTACTGTCATTTTTGTAGAGATTACGAGTATTCAAATGGGATTTTTAACAGTCTGTGCATAAATTTCTCTCCATTCTTGATTACTTCCTTTGGGTAGCATCCCCGAAGTGAAATTCTTGGATCGAGTACACAATCCTTTTGGAGGCTCTTGATGAATGTTGCCAAATTAATTTTCAATAAGATGATATTTTCACCTACTTTCCATGACTTGAATTTTTCTCTGCCTTGGGTTGGATTATGAAAACAAATAAAATATAAAAATACGTGTTGTTTTAACAAGGCAAATGTGAACTCACTTTCAGCACATATTCCCCCTTGAGAATGAGTTTTCAGAGAAAAGCTCCAGATAGGGGGGTGAAGCAGAAAGGTGGATTCAGCTAAATAGGAAGGAGTACAAGCGGGTGAAGGGGGATTTTAACTTATGCTACATGCTCTCTCTACATGAGACACTGTGGTGTGTGCGTAGGAGAGAGGGGATCAGAAGTGAGTACGTGAGACCCAGGTCTCTACTGCTTTCCAGTGTGGCAGGGGCAGCCCTGGTTCGAGTATGGGCACATTCGCTTGGGCAAATTGGCTAAGAGAGAAGCAGAGAAAGAGCAGTAGCCATGAGAATGCTTCTACTCCATGAGCATTGCCCTAGAGTAAGCCCCAAATGGGAGATATGAGTCTTCCTTTTAATCCAACTCAGTTTCTGTGTTGTTTGTGTTTTTCATAGTCAGGACCATCTTACCACACAGGTAATGCTTTTATGTTTCGAGATATTTCTTTTGTTTTATACAGCACAGCTCCAATAGGCAAGCCAGCTTCCTCACCTGGTGCCAAACCGATTTCTGCTTCATTCACAGAGTTGCTTTTTTTTTTTTTTTTTTTTTTTTTACTTTTTATGTTGGAATTATTTTCGACTTCTGTGAAAGTTCCAAACAAGTATATAGAATTCCCATCTGATTTCCCCCAATGTTACCATCTTACCAATCATAGTGTAATTATTAAAACTAAGAAATTAACATCAATGAAATCCTATGTGCTAATGGAAGAGACCTACCCGGGATGTTACTGAACATTCCACCGAGAAAGAGAGGGGAAGCCCCTGCTAGCTGGGAACTGGTCTGGCTTTGTCAGGCTTTCCCCTTGGTGGTGTTCAGAGCTGGCCTGGCCCTCATCCCTGGGCCTCCACGTTCTCCTTGAACAGAAACAATTGTTCAGATCACGAACGTCAAAGAAGGCCACTCTGTGCCCACAATGAATCAGATAAAACAAGGCCACTCTGTACTCACGTCTGAACACAAAAACAACATGAGCTTTGTTTAACCAAAAATAACGGAACAACCCCCCTCCCCGCCCATCCTGGCTACGATGAGTGACCGCTGCTTTACTAACTACAGTGTTAGCCTGCTTCATTCCCCCTGCCCTAGAGATAAGATTGATGGAGGTGTACAGTTATGGATTTACCACCACTGCTTGACAGCATCCAACCCAGAACAAAGCCCCACTTCCTTGTTGAACCCTCCCCATACTCTGAACAAGCTCTAATCCCCCAACAAATCCTTTCTGACCCCCTCTTACTGGGACACCTTATGTTGGTCCATGGTGTGCATTCCATCCCTCCTCATTGCCATAAGCAATAAACCCAATGTGCTCAACTTGTGAGTACATTCCTGGTAACTCTTGGCTGGTGGGTATTAACACCACTGATGTCCTTTTTCTGAGCCATGATCCAATCGGGGACCCCACATTACGTGTAGTGCTCATGTTCCCTTAGGTTCCCCCAATCTGTGATAATTCTCTGGTCCTTCCTCGCCTTTCATGGTCAGTTGCAAGATATCCTTCAATTTGTTGGATCTTATCTCATGATCCCATTGAGGTTTTGTATTTTGGGCAAGAATACTGCATATGTGATGCTGTACCCTTCTCAGGGCATCATGTTGGGGGCACACGATGTCTATGTGACCTATCACTGCTAAGGCTGAACCTGATTGAAGTTGGCTTCTGTGTCCCTTTGACATGCCCCCAACATTTTGAGCATTTCTGTTATTTATTTATTAAAGATTTTATTTATTTATTCATGAGAGACAGAGAGAGAGAGAGAGAGAGAGAGAGAGAGGCAGAGACACAGGCAGAGGGAGAAACAGGCTCCACGTAGGGAGCCCGACGTGGGACTCGATCCTGGGTCTCCAGGATCACACCCCAGGGCTGAAGGTGGTGCTAAACCACTGGGCCACCGGGGCTGCCCCCATTTTGAGCTTTTCTTTTCTTTTTGGCAACACAAGATTATTCCAGACTCATCTTTTGCTTTCCTAGTTTTGGAATCAGCCATTTCTCTAAAGAGCTCTTGTTTCTTTTACTGGAAAAAACCAAGACCTGGACACCAAGTAGTGGGGGTGTCAATGCTTATAGGCCTTCTCAGAGACAGAGCTGGGAAATATATTTCTAACACTCACATCGTTGTTTCTATATCTATTCATTTGTGTATATATAGCAAAAATCCCGTGTTTTTAGTGATACCTCCCACTCCAGGACTGGAATTGAACCCTTGAAGGGTTCACGTTTGCCTTCCCTCTTTCCTTGCTTGTAACTCCTTTCTCCAATGGTAAGAGCCTGTCTCTCATTATCCACAATGTATTTACTTATTTGGTTAACAGTTAAAATAATTTTGGAACAGCTAACCCACATCCCCATGGGAAAAATATTTACTAACCAGAGCACAATTTTTTTTTGTGCTTGGTTCTTTGTCTCTTCTCTTTTTCTAAATGGAGGTGAAATTCTATAGAACAAAATGAACCATTTTAAGTTGTGTGTGAAGTTCTTTTTGTCTTTAGCCTTATACTGCTTTGTACTGTTGTAGTCAAAATGCTTACTTTTCAAGTTACTTATGCTAGTTCTTCAGTGTGGTTATCTTATTCATTTGTAACACAGTTAGGTCCGCTCGTTGTCATTTGTATTATATCTTAGTGCAACCCACATCCTGGTGGATCTTAATTATTTATTTGTGGTTTGTGTGAAGCACCCCCATGGTTCTAAGGGCCATATTTTTAAAATATTTTATTTATTTTGAGAGAGAGAGGGAGTTGAGGGAGAGACAGAGGCAGAGGGAGAGAGAATCTAAGGAGACTCCATGCCGAGCGAGGAACCCAATGTGGGACTCCATCTCACAACCCTGAGATCATGACCTGAGCTGAAATCAAGAGTCAGATCTTTAACCAACTGAGCAACCCAGGTGCCCCCTAAGAGTCACATTTATACAAAAAGGTATACTCGGAGAGGGTTCATTCCCTACCTATCCCTACCTCCATTCCCATTCCTCCCTTCTTTCTGCCCCATTCCCACTACTCCCTGTAGGTAACCAATCTTATTAGCTTCTGGTTTATTCTCTCTCTCTCTGTGAATACACACACACACACACACACACACACACACACACCACATATATTTACGTAATGTATATTTGTATTACAAGTGAGCAGATGCATAAATGTTTCTTATACTCTTTCTTTTTTAAAAAGATGTTATTTATTTATTCACGAGAGACAGAGAGAGAGGCAGAGACACAGGCAGAGGGAGAAGCAGGCTCCATGCAGGGAGCCCTATGTGGGACTCGATCCCGGGACCTAGGGATCACGCCCTGAGCTGAAGGCAGGTGCTCAACCGCTGAGCCACCCAGGCATCCTTATACTCTTTCTTTCTTTAGCATCCTCTAAATACTTGTGTGTTTTGCTTTTTTTTTTTCTCATTTAGCTGTGTATCTTGCAGATCACTCCATATCAGTTCAGAGAAATCTTACTCATTCGTTTGCAAAGCTGCATAGCACTCCATTGTGTGGAGATACCACGGTTTACTCAACCAGTCTTCCATGTACGGACACTAAAGTTGTTTCCAGTATTTTCAATCACAAACAACACTGCAATAAGTAACTTTGATGCCCTGACTTTTGCGAGAGGGGCTGGTGCAGGATCTGACACCCTAGTGGGATGGGAATGCTCCCTCTCCTTGTCTGCTCCTACAAAGACCTACACTGGGCAGGCCACTTGAACTAGTTGCCCAGCTCCCCTCTGCTGGCCTGCTCCTCTAAGTTGCCTTTTGGAGGGTCATTGTATCTGCAAATTCACGGCCCCCTGCCTAGCCGTTGACCCTCCCATATGTCTTGCAACTGCAACTGTTCTTAGTGCCGTAAAGAGCTGCAGATAGACAAAGAGTATACTTGTGTGCACCTGGGCCCAACTGCACCAGTATCTGTGGGCAACAGGCCTAAAGTGGCCAGAAAAGCCACATCACTGTACATAGGCAAAGGAACAACAGCTTTCAATGGACCACAATGGCGTCCACATTTCTCTTCAATACTGAGCATGGATGGACTTCCCAAGGCTCCCAACATTACCTGCTTGAGGAGGATTCCCTTTTGAGTGTAGTGGAAGGCTGGGCTGGGGGAGGTGAATATCGTGGCTGCCCAACTGTCATTCATGATCAACCCAGAGTCTGGTTAGCAGGAGGGGATTAACACTGGCCCCAGTCAGACTGTCTACCAGCCTGTAGCATCCTTACAGGTCCTCTGGGCTGGAGTAGAGCCTTGGGACAGGGATCAGAGGGCCTCCCAGGGGCTGTGGCACCCTCCTGGGCTTTGTGAGGAACGCTTTTTGCCAGGAGACCCTCTGTTCTTGCCCTGTATTTGCCTTTGAATACGAAATGCCTCTATGTGCCAGGCTCTTGAGAGACATTGTATTATTGAAATAGGACAGTAACTCTGCAAGTGTAGATCCTTTCCTTCCCATTTTAGGGAGGCTCAAAGAGGTTAAGCAACTTGCCCAGGTTGCAGAGGAATCAGCAGAACCATTACTTGACACTAGGTCTGTCTGATTCCAGGGCTGTATGTAGATCTTTCCAAAAAGAATACAAATCCAACAAAATTCATTTATTTATTTAACAAACTTTACTTTTTAACCCTAGAGGAAATGTTCAGGCTCATGGAACCACTGACGAGAGGAAGTCAGATGCTACAGGGAAGGACTGGGAAGCCAGAGACCTAAAAATTGTCACTTTGAGTGAATTGGTTGAACCAGTTTCCTCATTCCAAGAGTTAGACTTGGCCTCCAGGCTCTGGTTATGCCCACATCATGGCTGCAGTGGGTGGAGTGCGTTCTTGTAGATTGGTTCCTTTGCCATGGTGGTTGTTAAGGGCTTTGTATATCACCTCTGGTCCCACACCCAATCTCCTTGGTGGTGGAGGTCAAAGGAGACCCCAGCAAACCCCAGGAACACTCTCTGCCAAGGTTAAAAATTGGACTTCTCAGGCACCCAGGGCCAGCTTCACCGGCACGCAAGCTGCACAGTCTCACGGGGCTTGTGCTTCATTTCATGCTTTCTTGTCTGGCGAATCTTAAGAACAGGAGGCTCCACATTTTCATTTTGCACGAGACCCTGCAAATGATGTCGCTGGTTCTGCAGGTAAAAAGGCAGTAGCTAGCAAAACTCTCAAGGAAGCAGCTCTGTCCTGCATATGGCCAGCAAAATGTCTCAGTCTGTTGGGGCTGTTATAACAAAATACCATAGACAGGGGAGCTTATACACAACAGACATTTATTTCTCACAGTTCTGAGGGCCCGAAAGTCTGAGATCAAGGCGCTGGCAGATTTGGTGTCGGGAGAGAGCCCTCTTGCTGGCTCATAGACGGCCATCTGCTCCCTGTGTCCTCACGTGGCAGAAGGGGCAAGGAGACTCTCTGAGATTAGAAGAGCACTAATCCCATATATGAGGACTCCACCTTCACAAGCCAATCACCTCCCAAAGGCCCCAGCTCCTAATAGCATCACACTGTGGGTTAAGATCCCCTACGAAAGAATTCTGGGGAGACACGAACATTGAGCCTAGAGCACATGGTATGTGACAAACACCAAGCAAAAAGGGCTAAAGGATGTATTCATCATAGCAAGAACACTTTTTGAGCACTTGCTCTGTGCCCAGTCAGGTTGTTGTGGAGAAACCCAAAGGGCCCACACCACCACCATCCTGAGGCTGCCCGAGGCTGGATGGCAGGATGGGACACAGATCTCTCTGGAATACCGTTAGAATTAGCCTTAAATGAGCACAAACCTATGATTCAGGGGTACAGAGATGGGATTCAGAAAGGGCTCACTGGGACCGGCCTGTCAGGAAACGCTCTAGGTCAAAGTAGGACTCAGACAGGATCTTAAATGAGGCGTGGGACTTAGTAAGTGGAGAAATGGAATCATCTGAGCCGCAGCCCTGGGTACAGAGGCAAAACACACTCCCTCACAGTTGGGTCTGGCCTCTGAAGCCATCACTATAGACTGAAGTTGGGGAATATTGCTGGTTGGGTTCTCTTGAAGCAGACACTAAGACGGAGTTGGGGGGGTGTGTCAGTTTCTTGGGGTTGTCATAACAAATTACTACAAGATGGGTGGCTTAAACCACTAAAAATGTTTCCTCCCATCGTTCTGAAGGCCGGAAGTCAAAAATCAGTTTCACTGGGCTGAAAGCAAGGTGTTGGGAAAGGTGGTCAATCCTCGCCTCTCCAGACCCAGCCAGAAGGCAACGGTCTCAAAGGCTCTCAGGCAGCCCAAGCCCGCCCTTCCAGAAGCTTGGCCTGCCATCCTCACTATCATGGTTGGCCCAGGAGTAGTGTCTGGAGCAGTCAGAAGGCAAACCCCAAAGACAAGCAACCTAGTGGACAAGGGAATAGGACTCTTCTGGGCCCATCTTTAAATGTGAGTGAAGGGACCCAAACTGGGTAGGACAGGGTGCAAATCAGCAGCCAAAGGGCAAGGCAAGAGGATTGTGGGCTCTCTCAGCAAGTCGCTCTTCCTCCTGGGTCTCAGTTATCCCGTCTGCAATGAGGCCTGTTAAGTCAGGCATTCTGACCTAAAAGTGGTGATTCTGAGGGAGAAGAGAGGAGGCCACCTGGGAGGTCCCTAAGGGGAGAGGGCTGACAGGGAGGCTGGACAAAGGTCCACAACCCTCCACCCCCACTATGACTTGATGGGCCATGGCAAGAATCCACATGGAGGCCCACATCTCATATGGCTAAATAAGGTATCAAGGTACCTTTGATACCAAACAAACTAGCAAGCTGTTGAATAAAATCCGTTCTGTTGGCCGACCTTGACAAAATACCGACATAATGACCTGTAAGGCCAAGTTTGAATGAAAATTCTCAGACTCCTTCCACTCCTGCAGTGGAGGCGGCGGGGAGGACAGGGCTGGCCTGGGGCCCTGGCTGCGGCTGCCATGTCCTGCACGGGAGAGCAGAGCTGGCTGCAGGCCCTGCACCCCACTCTGAAATCCATCTGTGCCATGAGGCCGGAGCGGTGCTTCCCATGGGCGTTCCCTGCCAACCAGTGAGTGCAGCAGGGCTATGGGGCCGGCCACCCAGCCTTGGAAGGCTCGGGGCTCCTCTGGTGGCTGGCCTGGCCTCCAGGACACCCTGACAGGCCTGTAGAAGCGTCCGGTAGGTAGCGCAGACAGCAGTCTTAGAATGCTCCCACTGACCTGCTCTCCCTCACTGGGCCTCAGACCGGCAGCACCTCCTTCCCCCATTGCATGCAGGCATCTTCTTTAATACGATCCTTGCCTGTCTCACCCTGTCGTAACGCCTGCTTCTCGGAGGTCCCGGACGAACACACTGGCCCCCAGCCCACCGCTGGTCTCTTCTCTACCCACACCACAGGGTGCCTCACACGAGCGCATGGGACGCCGGGCACCCAGAGTGTGGACCTGTCCATGCACTTCCTCGGCCTTCGGTCTCCTGCACCCCTGCGCTGTGGGGAGCAGGGCAGGAGGGCTAGTGCTAGGGCGCAGGGGGCCGGAAGGCAGACCCTTGGGTTTGAGTGTGACAGCGTCCTGGCCAGAGGCCTCACCTCCCCACTCCCTTCCCTCCACGTCAGCCTCCACCGCCACGGCTCTGTCCCATTAGTCCTGCCCGTGCAGGCTTCCGGAACACTCTTCGTAACCACCCGCACGCACCTGGCCCTTCACAGCCCTGTCTTCTTTCACTAACTCGAGAGTCCGGAGGAGGACAGAGGACCCCGAGGCTCAGGGAGGCCCACCGAGCGTCCAGCCTCTTCTCGGTGATGCTGTGGCCGCAGGGGCAACTGCGCTGTGCTGCACGGCTCTCCTCTGCTTGTCGGGGTGTCGCTCAGTTCCCCGGGGAAGATGAAGGGGCAGTTCTCCAAATGTCTAAGCGCAGAGCTGCTCCTGTCAACCTTGCAGCGACCCGCCTCGGCCAGGGAGGGCCAAGGATGCTGTCCCCGTAGGCCTGCAAGGCTCCAGCCCCTCAGAACTTATCATTATACTTGCAGTCTGGGTAGCGATAGGCGAATCTGGGGTCACAGGTTCTCAGGGGCCTCAAGAGGTCCTTAAGCCGGCGGGCGGCCCCCAGGACTTCGGGGTCTGGGCGGGCATCGTCCCCACACTGTGCCAGCGCAGCGTCTATCTCATCCTGCACCGGGGAGGGGAACTTCCCCTGGAGAAGTTGAGGCAGCACCTGCCGGCAAACGAGCACCAGGCTCTGCTTCTCTGGGACAGTGTAGCAGGAGGGCAGTTCGGCCTGGCAGCCGGAGACCAGGCAGCTAAAGATGTCTTCACTGTCTGCTGCCCCGGCAGCCGCTGGGCTACCTGCAAGAGAGATGGACAATATTAGGGTCCTACAACCTGTGCTTCTTGCCGGGGGTGGGGGTCGGGGGGCGGACCACTAATTAGAATTGCGGGGTGAATGTTTGGTGTCCTAGCATCTCTGATCACCAAGAGATTCATTATTTTTTTTTAATTTTTAAGAAAGATTTTTTTTTACATGACAGAGAGAGAGAGAGTGAGAGAGAGCGAGTGAGCATGAACAGGAGGAGGGGCAGAGGGAGAGGGAGAAGCAGAGTCTCCACTGAGCAGGGAGCTCCACCTGGGGCTCCATCCCAGGATCCTGAGATCATGACCTAAGCCGAAGGCAGAAGGGAGAGGCCCAACTGAGTGAGCCACCCAGGTGCCCTCATCAGGAGATTCAGAGCTTGGGGACACAGTAGTCCCCGCCGGGAACAACATGGGAGGGACTCTGTGCTATGGAAGGAGAAGCTTGGGCATGGAAAATACACGGATCATTGCTGGAGTCGGCCTTGTAATTGTAGGGCTCTCATCCACACCGTGATTCTCTCATTTATTTCTTTATTTTTATATTTTTAAAAGATTTTATTATTCATGAGAGACAGAGAAAGAGAGAGAGACAGAAGCAGGCAGGCAGAGCCACAGGCAGAGGGAGAAGCAGGCTCCGTGCAGGGAGCCCCATGTGGGACCTGATGCGGGTCTCCAGGATCGCACCCTGGGCTGAAGGCAGGCGCTCAACCGCTGCGCCACCTGGGCTGCCCTCTCTCATTTATTATTAGGGAGTGAGTGAGGGCAGGAAATTGCCGGTCTCATTTGCCCTTCTGGACTACAAAGTTGGGAGAAACAACAGGTGCTGCAGAATATGCATTCGGCGGGGTCCAGTGGGGCTCACAGGTGCAGTGGTCTCCATAGCCCCGATGTTCTGGAATCAGCCTCGTTCCTTTCTGACTGGATTCTTCTTAATCAAGGCAACTCTGGAAACCAGCCAGTGTGATTTAACTAGAGGCCTTGTCATGTCAGCAAAATTGGGGATCAGAGAAGAAAACCGTGTGTCCCGTGATTGGGCTCAGAAAATTCGTCACCGCTGGAGGCGGCGGGATGCTCAGAGAGTTCTAGAACCCCGCCGAGCCAGTGGTGCGGCGCCCACCCTGATGTCCCTCATACAGCACATTCGATGCCACCGGTTTTTAGTTTGACGACGCTAGAGAAAGCAAAGGCGCCCAAATGGACGGCAGCGTGTGCCGGGGAATCAGCCAGCTCTGGAAGTTTCAGATGAAGGCTAGAAGCGTCGGAAAGGCTCGGGGGAGGAGCACCGGGAGGGCTGCCCGGGCCCCGCGGACTGCACTGAACACGGCAGCGCCCTGAGGCCGGGCCGCGTGCAAAAGGCCACCCGGGAAGGCCGAGTCCACTTCCCCCTCGGAGACTGCCCCGCAGCGCACACTCCAAAGAGCGAGAGGCACGTTTTACGTGACAGCTGTCCTTCCCCCGGAACTTGGGCGGCTCCCACGGTGACAGCGCAGACCGGAAAGGCCCACCCCCCAGCCCCGCCCGGTCACCCCCTCCCTGGCTCCTGTCACCCTGACCTCCCCTGTGACAGCTGCTCCGCCAGGCCCATGCTGGGTACCTTCCTGCTTGTCGATGACGCCCAACGCGCTGGCGTCCCGGATGAACAGGTGCCCGTTGTTAAAGATGCCAAACGTGGCCGCATGGACGTGGGTGAAGTAGAAGAAGTAGTTGAGGTCGTTGCTCCGCAGGGACTCCAGGACCCCGAGCAGCTGGTAGGCCAGGTCGGCCGCCTGGTCCGCGGCCGCCGCGTAGAAGTCCCGCAGCGGGCTGGTGCTGGTGCTGACCACGAACCGGCCGCAGGAGCCCAGGTACTTGGGCAGCGGCCAGCCCTCGGCCCCCGGGAAGATCTGGCGGGCGGCGGGGACGCCGCGGGAGACGGTGAGGGAGGAGGACACGCCGACGCCCTCCCTGCGCCTCGCGCCACGCCCCGGGAGAGCCTGCGCCCGCTTCCTCAGCCGCTGCCTCTCCGGCTCTCTTTACCTCTTGGACTCGGCCCGGACCCCGCGCCCCTTTCATTCCATTGTTTGTCTTTCTAAGATCTTGTTTATTTACTCATGACACAGACAGAGAGAGAGAGACAGAGAGAGAAAGAGACAGAGACACAGAGAGAGACAGAGAGAGACAGAGAGAGGCACTCGCAGGGAGCCGCATGCGGCACTCGCCCGGATCGCCGGGATCACGCCCTGGGCCGAAGGCGGACGCTCAGCCGCTGAGCCCCCCGGGCGCCCCCCATGCCACGGTTGATGAAGGGGTTCACTAAAGGAAGCTCCCAATTCCATGCAGCGCATCTGGAGCCAGGGGTGATTTTCCACGGGATTCAGGATTCGGGGCAACGTGTTTATCGTAAGAGTTGAAGAGTCCAACAAATATGACTGGTATTTGGGATTCCGCAGCCCCCCCCCAGAAGGGGCCCTGAGGGTAGGACCGCAGGACGGACCGCTGCCTACCCAGCCCCGACCTAGGGAGGCCCGCCGCCCCCCGCCGCCCCCCTGCCCGCGCTCCTCCGGCTCCTCCGGCTCGTCTGGGTCCTCACAGGAGCGCCGCGCTCGCGGATTTGCGAGCTGCAAGAGGACGGAAGCCTGGCTGCTCTTCCCTTGACTGCTTCCTGGAGCGGCGCGACCTAGCATGCCGTGTCTTTAGACCAGGGGAAACGACAGAAACTAGAAATACCACTGTTTTCCCCTTATATTCCTTCTTCCTCTTTTTTTTTTTTTTTTTTAAAGAAGTTATCCCCCTCTCTGACAATTTGCTCTGGTCTTCTGCCCTTTTTAACCCACCTGCCTGCTGGGAAGAACCTTTCCTTGCTTCCCCTGCCCACCGGGGACCTCTCCCATGAAGTGCCCTGGATGCAGGACGGTGGCAGATCCAGGCTTCCCCGGGTGGGGCCCACGGTGGGTGCAGGGTTCTGGGCCGGGCCTCTCGGGACTCTGCTGCCACCACTGAGCTTAGAACGATGGGAAACAATGGGAAACGGAGATGCCCCCCCCCCCCCAGCAATTCCTTCTCCTTCTCTAGGATTTAAAATGCCGTGGTTACTAGGCACGTTTTGGAGTGTGGACCTTGCATTCGGACAGCTCGGGGTTGGAGGCCCATTGCTGACATGAGCTATGTGACTGTGCTCAAGTCACCTCACGTCACTGAGCCCCACGGACCTCATCTGGAAAAGATGAGACCAAAAGATATTATGGTCCATAATAATATTTCTGTGGGGTTGTCGAGATGTAAAACATTCAACACAACACCCAGTACATAGCAGGTGCTCAATAAGTAAGAGCACCTCGTTGATTATATATCAATATATATTAATTACTCATATACTAATGAATATGCATTCATTACACAGAAGTTATATATTAATACATCAATAATTATAGATCACATCATATTATTAATATATTATTAAATATATAATGGTATTATACTATATAATATAGTCATTATATGTAATAATACATATTAATATATGACAATATATAATTATTGATGATATTAATTATTTATAATCATTAATATTATATGCTATGTAGTATATACACTATATTTATAATATATTATAATCTGATTATTATATTATAATCTGATTATTATGTATCATTTTATATGTCATATGTATTACATATGTTCTATATAATAATTAATATATATTGATTATATATTATATAGTTATATATAACAATGGATAATATATAATTAATTATATATAATTATATAATTAAACATCATATAATCATATCTAGTGAATAATGAAATTATATATAAGAAAGATAGTTATATCAGTTAATTAATAATATAGAATAAAATATGTAACATGACAATTAGTATATCATGATTATTATTATTATTATTAAGGATTTTATTTATTTATTCATGAGAGAGAGAGGGAGAGGGAGAGGCAGAGACACAGGCAGAGGGAGAAGCAGGCTCCATGCAGGAAGTCCAATGTGGGACTCGATCCCAGGACTCTAGGATGACTCCTTGAGCTAAAGGCAGATGCTCAATCGCTGAGCCACCCAGGCATCCCGTATATCAATGATTAGTGATTATGTATAATTATTACATAAATAATGATATTTAAAATTAAATTAAAATGATGAAATTAATAATCACATGATGACTTGTGATAGTAAATACTAAGTGTCTTCCTTGTGGCATCTTCCTCCTCTACTTGCACTTTCTCTCTCCCCTTTCCTTCTCTTTTCTTCCCCCTCCCGTTATTCCTCCTTCTCCTCCTCCTCTTTCTTTCTCCTCTCTTGTCCTCCTCCTTTACCCGATCTTTCTTCCCATTTCCTAGTTTCCTTTGAGCCCACACTGGGAGCTCCCTGACCCTTAGGATGTGGGGGAAAAAATCCCATCATGATGGCCTCGTTGACCAGTGCATCCCCAGGTTCTGGTGCATCCTCATTTGTTTGACCATTCCCCTCCCGATGGACATCTAGGTTACTTCCATCTTTTTCTCCTTTCTAGGGACGGCTGCAGGGCCCATCTCCAGGTGGTGGCCCCAAGGCTTGTGGAAAGGGGAAGAGAGCTCAGCCCGGGGCTGTCCTCCCTGGAGCCCGACATGAGCCCCCTCCCCGGGTGACGGTCGCTCCGTACCTGCAGGAGGATGGGATGAGCGTTGACAGCCAGCGTGTAGAGCAGACGGAGCTTGTCGCGGTCAGTGAAGTGGTCCATGAAGATGCTGCCGGCGTCGGCCACCTCAGCGTAGCGCCGGACCACGCGGTCCAGGAGTCGCTGCGAGGGGCAGCGCAGGAAGGGGCTGGGCAGGCCCTGCAGGGGGGCGGGGAGAGACCCCGGAGGGGGAGAGGAGGCTGAGCTCTTGCGGGGGGTGTCAGGATGGGACACAAGCAGCCCCTGCTGGCGGGGGGTGGGGGACACCAGGGTTGGCGAACAAGATGGACCTTGTTGGGAAGAGACCTCAGGCCAGGAAGGGGGGTTCTGAGCACTATCAGAGGGTGGAGTGTAAGGCTGTGCAGGCTTGAGCTGGGGGCTCAGGAGGAGATCCCAAGGGCCAAGGGGAATGGACTGAGCCATCCTAGGGGCAGGACAGGCGGGCACTGGGCAGGTGGTGCACCCCAGCAAGCACTCAAAGCATTGGAGCACCTACGTCTCCACCACCCTCGCACCCCCACTCTGCCTCTCCACCGAAAGCCGGGCTCGGGCCGAATCAATCAGATCAGCCCTCTGCCACTGACCTTTTCGACACCACCCACCACATCATGACAATGTCATCACAGTTGGGATGCTACACCTGAGCATCTTCACGTGTGCCGCTTCGTTCTTCTCGGGATAAAATTGGGAGGTATGAACCTATGTTTATTTTCCATGACCTTCCACCCGCCCCTGTACCTTTCTCTTCACACTGAATGAAGACAATGAACCCAATTTACTAATAGAATAAAAGAAACATAATTAAACATAGGGCCCTGGGCCCCAGTGAGCCAGAATTCAGCCCCAGCTCCACCCCTACCAGCTAGCCGTGTGAACTTGGAAAAGTTTCTTACAAGTCTCTCTGAACTTGGGGTTACAGTTTATTTACTTATTTTTAAATGTTTTATTTATTTATTCATGAGAGAGACAGAGAGATTGGCAGAGACACAGGCAAAGGGAGAAGCAGGCTCCCGCGGGGAGCCCAATCCGGGACTTGATTCCAGGACCCTGGGATCATGCCCTGGGCCAAAGGCAGACGCTCAACTGCTGAGCCACCCAGGGATCCCTTGGGGGTTACAGTTTAAAGGGAGGGTGCAGTAACAGCACACTAAAAGATCACAGGAATCTCAAAAGCTACTAGATGTAAAATACTAGAAGTGTGTCTGGCGAGGCGTAAGCACTCAATAAATGCTACCCACTCTTATTAAATTGACAAAGTTTCAAGTCCCAGCTCAGAGAATGGTGGTGACAGCCAGTAATCACCTTGACAGCAGGAGTCAGGCTTTGTGGATGAGAAGAGGGTTTCCCAGTTCTAGACCCTGGCTTCCAAGAACAGAAGACCCAGGGCAGAAAGTGTGCCCGAAGGTGTCTGGAGATGGTGTTTGCGAGCCTGGGGTAGGTGGCAAGGGCTAGTCTCCAGAGCCCTGGACCCCCGAGCCTTGCACCATCCATCTCCCCAGCCAGAACCCCAGAGTGTGGAAGGGCCACTGGGCACCTTGAGAAGTCTTGAGCGTCATGGAGGTCGCTGAGGGCATGCATAGGCTCTCGGGGTAGGATGCTCAACCATCCCGCTTTGCCTGGGACTGAGGGTTTCCTGGGACATGGAGTTTTTGGAGCTACAATCGGGAACCCGAGAGAGCTGGCCACTCTACCACAGGGTCACAGCTAGACCGTGGCCACATACGCTTCTGCTCCCAGACAAGGATCGGAACCAACTGGTAGAAGCCAGTGTGGATGCTTGTTGAACCACCATGGCCGGGGTACCCAGGGAGCCCCAGGTAGGGAGGGGGCTGGTCCAAATTCTGAAGTGATGAAATGTGGCCAAGGTGGGCTGGAAGTGTTTGGATGGTACTTCGTACTCCCCAGAGGGGTGAGGGCATAGGAGTTGAGCTCAGGGAGAGAAAATTAAAGAACATTCCATGCTTGCACCTCTGAGTCTGTGAGTGTCCAATTCATGTGTGCTCCATCCTCTGGGAATGCATGTGCCAGGCACTGGGCTGTGGATTTCCCATGCAGTAGCTCATTTAATCCTCCTGGGCACCCACGATGTAGGTGCCATTATGAGCCTCCTTTTGCAACTGAGGAATTGGAAGTCTGCGGAGTGTAGGTAAGGGTTGGATTCGGGATTTGAACCTGGTATGGACTGCGTGTTTGTTCCCCTGCCCCCCTCCATTCATATGTTGAAAACCGCCATCCCCAGGGCGATGGTTTCAGGAGGTGGGGCCTTGGGGAAGGAGCTGGACCAGGAGGGTGGAGTCCTCATGATGGGATTAGTGCCCTTATGGGAAGAGACATGAGAGCACCACGTGAAGATACAATGAGAAGGCAGCTGTCTGCAAACCAGGAAGAGAGCTTCCCTAGGAACCAACTGGCTGGCACCTTGATCTTGAACTTCCCAGCCTCCAGAAGAGTGAGAAATAGTCTTCTCTTCTTTAACCCACTTAGTCTGTGCTTCTCTGTTATAGGAGCCCGAGCTAACAGTTAGACTTGGATGTTGATCCATTAGATGTGAATGTCCACGCAGCTTCCCCTGTAATAAGTCCTGCCCCTTTATACCTCTGGCCGCATAGACTACCCAGGTGGAGACCACAGCAGGTGATTTGAAGCTTTAAGAACAGCTCTTTGCTCTGATAGTCTTTCCCAGGCAGCTTGAAATGCCACCATTACAGATAATCATTGGGGACCGAGGGAGGTAAGTAATCTTTTCTCTTCTGTAAGAACCAACTCTCAAGTGACAATACCTCTGGAAGAGGCAGGATACTAATTGGCCATAACGACAACAACAATAATAGGTGATAATTACTGAGCACTTATTATTTGACGGGAACTCTTCTAAGCCCCCTCAAATGTAGCGTCTTCTTTTGTTCACTTCTTACAAGAACCTAGTGAGGTAGGTACTATTGATATTGATAAATCCCAACATTTTCTTGGACCTAGGAGTTCACTTTATCCTTCTGATTCTAAATGAAATGACAACGTGTCCACGGGCCCCTCCGAATCTTCTTGGAGGAGAGTGATGTCCAAGCTGAGGTCTGAAGCGTGGGCAGAGTGAGCCCGTAAAGAAGGTGGGAGAGGATGCTATACAGAAGGGACACCTTGTGTAAACCTTGAGATGAGAGAGACTATGCTAGACTGCAAATAGCTTAGTACTGCTTAAAGGTGAAATATCACTTGTAACAGTTGACGGAGAAGAAGCCGGAACAGTAGAGTCATTTAAGGGAATTTTAATTTTATCCAGAAGGGATGGGGAGCCACTGAAGGCCTTGAACAGGAGAGTGCTATACTCATACGCATTTTAAGAAAATGATTCTGGGTGCAGCACAGTGTATGGATTCAGGGGAATGTGTCCAAGACTGCTAGTTCCAGACTCCTGGATGTTAGTGAGGCATATGGCTGCCCAGAATAAAGATGACATTCTCAGCTTCTTTTGCAGCTAGGTGTCATAGCGTGACTAGGTATGATCAATGAAATATAAGTAGAAATTTTTTAGAAGGATCCTTAAAAGGGAGAGGATGTATCTATCTTCATTCTTTTTTCCCCCTCCCCTGGCTGGAATGTGGAAATAATGGCTGGTGCTTAGGCAGCTATTTTGGACCAGGGCACACTAAGTGTTGTAGAGCAGCAAAATGAAAATAGCCTGGATTCCCGGGAATCACAGAGCCACTACATCAGCCCTGGACAGCTATGTATCAGTTATTTTATGTAAAAGAGACGTATATTTTGATCTTGTTTAAGCTACTGTTATTTGGATTTTTTGTTGTCATATGCAACTGAACCTAATCCTACATGTCACAGGAAGAAAATAATGGAGGCAGGAGAGTCAGGAAGATGCAGTGGTCCTGGTGTGAGATGAGAGAGTGAAAAGATTTAAAGATATTTGTTGGTGGTAGAATTTGTAAGCCTTGGTGATTGGCTGGATGAGGGAGGGGGGCAAGGAAAACGGAGGTGTCAGAGGTAGTACCCCATATGAGGGTGGACACCAGAGATATCATTTGCTGAGGTGGCTTTATTTTATTTTTTAAATATTTTATTTATTTATTTGAGAGTGAGCACTAGCGGGAGCAGGGGTGCAGAGGGAGCTCGATGTGAGGTTTAATCCCAGGACCCTGAGATCATGACTTGAGCCAAAGGCAGACGCTTAACTGACTGAGCCACCCAGGCGCCCCATGAGGTGGTTTTAAAATGTGTTTACAACTCTTTGACACTCCTCCCATCAATGAGTGAAGTCTAATTCCCCTCCCCTGGAACACAGACTGGCCTTGGTGACTTGAGTCTAGTGACTGGCACGTTTCTAGGAGTGGTGCTACATGACCCGTGAGTCTTGGCCATGAAAGATGATTCAGTTTCTCCTTGGCTGTCTCTTGTATTCAGCCACCATGCCATAAGGAAGCCACATGGAGAGATAGCAAGATCCCCAATCCTCACTCCAGTGGAGAGTCTGGCCGACAGCCAGCCCCAACTTGCCAGCCACATGACAGAGCCATCTTGGAAATATGGCTCCTCTGGTGCTGCAGTGAGCCACCCCAGCTGATGCCTCATGGAGCTTGGTGAGCCTTCCCCTCTGAGCCCTGCCCAAATTGCATATTTATGAGCAAAGCCAATGATTGTTGTTGTTTTAAGCCGCTGAGTTTTGAAGCTGTTTGTTACACAGCAATCGGTAACTGATATACTTGCAGAGAGGGTTCTGGGCCACCTCTTGAACTATAGTCAGAAAAGGCTTTAAAACTGTCTTGTACCCCCACCCCCTTTATGCTGGAGGCAGCTGCTGCTCAAGGTCCCGCTCACATGGTGGGACTCCATCTCGTTCTGTTTGGTGTGTGCTGGCCAAGGGCAAGCCCACAGTTATATTGGCCAATGGCAAACAGAACTGGGACAGTAAACATTTGTTCAATAAAATCATGATTCATTCCGAAGCCAAATAACACCCTTTTTGGGAATGGCCCACTGCTCTGGAGCTTCTAAGTCACTACTCCCTTCTGCAAACATGGGCAGCAAGCTTAAATCAGCACCTTCCAACAAGAGGCAGAAGGAAAACCAAATCCTGGTCCCCTGTTGCCCCTCCCCTCCCACGCCCGCCTGGATTCCTCATCCTTCTAATTTCCAGTCTGGTCCCAATCCCT